GGGAAAGTGTCCGGACTGGAAGGGGGGGAAAGTGTCCGGACTGGAAGGGGGGGAAAGTGTCCGGACTGGAAGGGGGGGAAAGTGTCCTGACTGGAAGGGGGGGAAAGTGTCCGGACTGGAAGGGGGGGGAAAGTGTCCGGACTGGAAGGAGGGGAAAGTGTCCGGACTGGAAGGGGGGGAAAGTGTCCGGACTGGAAGGGGGGGAGCGTCCGGACTGGAAGGGGGGGGGAAAGTGTCCGGACTGGAAGGGGGTGAAAGTGTCCGGACAGGAAGGGAGTGAAAGTGTCCGGACAGGAAGGGGGTGAAAGTGTCCGGACAGGAAGGGGGTGAAAGTGTCCGGACTGGAAGGGGGTGAAAGTGTCCGGACTGGAAGGGGGGGAAAGTGTCCGGACTGGAAGGGGGGGGGGAAAGTGTCCCTGGAAGGGGGGGGGAAACTGGAAGGGGGGGAAAGTGTCCGGACTGGAAGGGGGGGGAAAGTGTCCGGACTGGAAGGAGGGGAAAGTGAAAGTGTTCCGGACTGGAAGGGGGGGAAAGTGTCCGGACTGGAAGGGGGGGAGCGTCCGGACTGGAAGGGGGGGGGGAAAGTGTCCGGACTGGAAGGGGGGGAAAGTGTCCGGACTGGAAGGGGGGGGAAAGTGTCCGGACTGGAAGGGGGGGAAAGCGTCCGGGACTGGAAGGGGGGGAAAGTGTCCGGACTGGAAGGGGGGAAGTGTCCGGACTGGAAGGGGGGGAGCGTCCGGACTGGAAGGGGGGGAAAGTGTCCGGACTGGAAGGGGGGAAGTGTCCGGACATGAAGTGGTTAAATAGTGTTTTTACAGTTTGTGGTTAAAAATATTTTTTCAGCACAAGGGACAATGGCCTTTTGGCTAAGATCAAGCGATCAAATGCAATATCTGTTCTAATCAGTGTCCAGTAGGGGCGATCTGCCGTCATTCTGGATCTTTGGTAGGATTGGCTGGCTGTATAGTATCCCTGCTGCATGACGGGGGCTCTGAAGGCTAATAACGGCAAGAACAGAAATCGGGGCGCCCACAGGTAGTTTGGGCACAAAAATAATTCCCCCAGGAAAACTGGAGGGGCTCAGCCCCTCCTGATTTGAATGGGTCTACCTTGTCTGGTCATAGGCATGTGGTGTAGGTCCCTGGGCCTACCCTGAAGTCTAGGTGGAGGATGTATGGCCATAAGGTTCCTTCCTCCCCTGAACCTGGGGGGGGGGGGGTCTCTTTTTGGGGGGAGCCCCTTAGCTAGTACTCAGTGGTCAGCTTCAGCTGGCCACAAGGAGGGGAGTCCGTTAGGTGGACCATGGTCGAGCCGCGTCCCTGTCAGCAGCCTTGCCCCCCAGGTATTCAGGGTAAGGTCCTACCTCTATGGGGAGTGGACAAAAAGCACACCCTTAAGTGCACTTTTCTGTGTGTGCTCACATGCACTTTTTTTGTTCATGTAGCACTACCCCTGGAGGAGCCACTTGTATTTCTTATCAGGTCTCCCCTTTGTTTTGCCCCCCAGCTAAGCACAAAGTATTTTCCACAGTCAGGTACACACACTCTTTTCACTCTCTCTGTCTTCAGGACCTCAGGTCTTGAGAGACTTCAGAAGGCGCACGCGCGCGCGCGAAACGCGTTGTCTAGATTACCGGCCCCGGCCACCGGCTTGCTTTCCAAGTCAGGATCCTCCCTTCCGCTTCCTCCGAGATCCTGGTGACATCAGTTCCGGGATGCCGCGGTCTCGTGGCTCACCATCAGTGCACAGGAGCACTTTCTCTGCCCTGCATTGATGCACCCAAGGAGCAAACGGCTCCTCTACCTTGCCCAGGCCACCTCATGTTTTGATCCTTTGATTGTAATAATGGTACACCTCAATGTGAGGTTTGAGTGTATTCAGTCTCACAGCGCTGTTTCTTTTGAGGTGTATGGATTCACGGTACAAGTGTTTATTACAGCAGCAGTGATGGGATTCTGTCTTGAACACTTTTCCAACTACATTATGGATGGTTCTTACTGCGCTTGAATATCTGACATTCCAGGCCCTCAGGTCACCCACCCGAGGCCTGCATAGCAGCAAGTGCCAGGCGAGGCAAGCCTTCCTCCAGCCTGGCTTGGTATAACTCCCCGGAAAAACGCTGAAACCATATGCTAACAGAACATAGATACCACTCCCAGCATGCAAAGTTGCCACCCTCCCCTACAATTGGCCAGGGCTGTAATCTATATGCATGATGCTCATTTGCCTCATTCCCTCCTAGGTTCTGGAAGGCTCTCAAAGCTTCCAGAAGGGGGAAGATCTCAAGTTCTTCAACGCAGTGCGGCGCTCTCCCACCACAAAGACAGGTACGCAAATATGCGGCCCCACGGAAAAAGCCCAGTTCTGTGAGGCTGCATATTTCTGTGACGTCGGCGTCAAGGGGTTAATTGCGTTAATTGAGCCACCTATTATTTGGTCCTCCTGGAGCTTCCTACATGGTGGGCTTGGTCTGGTGTCAACTTGACCTCGTTATCTAATCAGTGTGGGATGTTTATCTCAATGTGTAATATTTGTTTTATTGCTCATGTGAGGACTGTCCCTATTTCTGAAGCGTATAAAAACATGTATTTCTGTTCAATAAAGAGTTTCAGCTTTGCACCTAAGCTAGTCGCCTAGTCTAGGGTATGATGCCCAGGTGAGGAAGCAGTTATTTGATGGAAGACCCAAGCAGGGTGCCAGGTGGTCCATTGCAATGACACCACTCTCAGACTTACTATGGGGCATCCCAGTTGTCGGCTGCACCTCCTCAACATAGAAGCCGCCCGCCAACATCTGATGGGACCAGACTGGAGCAGCTTCAGAATAGGTAAGTATACATATCTTTCCTGTACAGGGATACCCCTAGAATGTGAGTGGGTTTGGCCTTTGTTAGGTTCTGCCTGAACTTCCACCTTAGCCTACATCTATGTTATCTCCTTCGACAAACATCATACAAAGATGTTTAGACAATTGTGCGCTTCCAACTCTGTGGCAAAGAAAACTTTTTGTCTTTAATATGAATTTGTTCCTGTGAACAGATCCAGCTCCATAATGACACGGTTTGATGGGTTTTGTGTGGAGGAACTCGAGTGCACAAAATCCTGACCTCAACAATATTGAACAAATTTGGGATTAATTGGAAGTCCGATCGTGAGCCAGATCTTCTGATTCAACATCAGTTACCTGACCTCCCAAATACTCTTTTGGCTGAATAGACACAATTGCTCACAGATTCCAGTTTTACAACTTTCTTTTGCTGCGGTTTCAGATGTGCTGAGTGACCATCTTTGCACCACTAACGTCTTTGCGCCATTGGTTAACGATGGACTAAAAGTTGATCAGAGTCTTCTAGCCTACACTCCTCCCTTGACAGTTTTCTGTTCGTCTCTTTGATGAATAGATGTTCTCATAGGGCACCTCCAATGTCATAGTAGAGCAAAAAATGAAGATGCCCATCTGCAGATGAACAGACATCTGCAGACCACCACCAATGACTTTCAAAGTCAGTGCAGGACTGGAGTCATGAGGATCTTGGAATTCCATGCCCTTGGAAGAGAATCCTTACATGGGACTACAGGCAATGACCAATAGCTGGCAAAGTTCAGCACAACAATCCAACGTCCTCCCCTTGACTATCCTTTATAGGTCATAAGGGTACCATTAGCTCATACAACATCAAATATGGTCATCACTATAGCTGACTCCTGTGTTCTTCACCTATAGCTGCCCCCTCTCCTATAAGGCAACCAGGCCTACTGGTACTCAGTTGTTCCCAGGACATATACACAATGCTATAGCACCTGGCTACCATGCTGGAGCAGGTGCGAACTGAGTACAGCAAACAGGTACTTGCCGTTGGCAGACAAGCTGAGGGGTTCCATGACAGCCAGGTACAAGGCAGGCAAGGTTCAGGGTACTCAGGGTCAAATCAATAGTCAAAAAGCTGGCAGAAGTCAGAAAGTAGTCGATATCAGAGCTGAGGAATCTAGATTAGCAAACAGGGCAGACAACAGGGAGCTTGCAGCACGTGTTACAAACACAATATCACAAGCATGAGGCTGTAGGCTTGGCTGGCTTTAATCAAGTTTGGTCTTGACCCAGAGACTGGCCACATCAATCACCTTGCAGGTGGACAGACAGGGAGAATGTACCATAGCCAAAACCAGGGTGCTGGAATGAGACCAGCAGTTGTGATGGAGCAGGAGCGCTACACGCTCTTGACACAGGCTCACTCGTATTTCTAACTGCAAAGATATTCATCCATGTTGTAGACCAAAACCAAGAGAATCTTACAAATATATATATTACTTAGATCCCGCACCTCAGGGGAGCTCGTGCCATCCACCAAGGTGAGCCTCTCTGCTGCTATAGCTAGTGACCTCCAAGCCTGACTCCAGGTCGTGATCTTCATATGAGATGTGTTTAAATATCCTTTGAAAAAGATGAATCTGCAGGGGTAGGCAACTGTGGCTCTCTAGCTGTTGTGGAACTACATTTCCCATGAGGCATTGCAACATTACAAAACTGACAGTTACAGCTATGACTTGCAGAGGCATGATGGAACTTGTAGTCCTTCAACAGCTGGAGAGCCGCAGGTTGCCTACCCTGTGCTAGTGGGATAAAACAATCTAGGGCAGCCATTCTAAACCAGGGCTCCAAAGAACCCCAAGGTTCCTCCAAAGGTTGGTAGGGGTTTCTTGAGCTGTGGCTGATTGACCAGCCATTTGATGGTGACTGCATAGTTCTGGGGTTATTGCCACATGGCAGAGTCAGTTGTCTGAAGTCAGTTGCATTTTGACCACCACTGTAGGGGCTGAATTCTTACAAATGACCACCAATGTAACGAACATTTTTCTCACTGACCACCAATGTAAGGGGCATTCTTTTTCTCACTTGACCTGACCACCAATGTAAGGGGCATTCTTCCCACTGACCCCCAATGTAAGGAACATTCTTCCACTGAAGGGGCATTCCACTGACCCCCAATGTAAGGGGCATTCTTCCCACTGACCCCCAATGTAAGGGTCATTCTTCCCACTGACCCCCAATGTAAGGGACATTCTTCCCACTGACCCCCAATGTAAGGGACATTCTTCCCACTGACCACCAATGTAAGGGACATTCTTCCCACTGACCACCAATGTAAGGGACATTCTTCCCACTGACCACCAATGTCATTCCCACTGACCACCAATGTAAGGGACATTCTTCCCACTGACCTCCAATATAAGGGACATTCTTCCCACTGATCACCAATGTAAGGGACATTCTTCCCACTGACCCCCAATGGAAGGGACATTCTTCCCACTGACCCCCAATGTAAGGGACATTCTTCCCACTGACCACCAATGTAAGGGACATTCTTCCCACTGACCCCCAATGTAAAGAGACATTCTTTCCCACTGACCCCCAATGTAAGAGACATTCTTCCCACTGACCCCCAATGTAAGGGACATTCTTCCCACTGATTCCCACCAATGTAAGGGACATTCTTCCCACTGACCCCCAATGTAAGAGACATTCTTCCCACTGACCCCCAATGTAAGGGACATTCTTCCCACTGACCCCAATGTAAGGGACATTCTTCCCACTGACCCCCAATGTAAGGGACATTCTTCCCACTGATCACCAATGTAAGGGACATTCTTCCCACTGACCACCAATGTAAGAGACATTCTTCCCACTGACCCCCAATGTAAGGGACATTCTTCCCACTGACCACCAATGTAAGGGACATTCTTCCCACTGACCCCCAATGTAAGGGACATTCTTCCCACTGACCCACCAATGTAAGGGACATTCTTCCCACTGATCACCAATGTAAGGGACATTCTTCCCACTGACCCCAATGTAAGGGACATTCTTCCCACTGACCCCCAATGTAAGGGGCATTCTTCCCACTAATCACAAATGTAAGGGACATTCTTCCCACTGATCACCAATGTAAAGGGGACATTCTTCCCACTAACCCCCAAGGGACATTCTTCCCAAGGACCACCATTCTTCCCACTGACCCCCAATGTAAGGGGCATTCTTCCCACTGACCCCCAATGTAAGGGGCATTCTTCCACTGACCCCAATGTAAGGGGCATTCTTCCCACTGACCCCCAATGTAAGGGCATTCTTCCCACTGACCCCCAATGTAAGGGACATTCTGACCCCCCCACTGACCACCAATGTAAGGGACATTCTTCCCACCCACCAATGTAAGGGACATTCTTCCCACTGACCCCCAATGTAAGGGACATTCTTCCCAATGTAAGGGACATTCTCCCACTGACCCCCAATGTAAGGGACATTCTTCTTGACCCCCATGTGACTGACCCCCAATGTAAGGGGCATTCTTCCCACTGACCCCCAATGTAAGGGACATTCTTCCCACTGACCCCCAATGTAAGGGACATTCTTCCCACTGACCACCAATGTAAGGGACATTCTTCCCACTGACCCCCAATGTAAAGGGACATTCTTCCCACTGACCCCCAATGTAAGGGCATTCTTCCCACTGATCACCAACGTAAGGGACATTCTTCCCACTGACCTCCAATGTAAGGGACATTCTCCCACTGACCCCAATGTAAGGGACATTCTTCCCTGACCCCCAATGTAAGGGACATTCTTCCCACTGACCACCAATGTAAGGGACATTCTTCCTTCCCACTGACCCCCAATGTAAGGGACATTCTTTTCCCACTGACCACTGACCCCCAATGTAAGGGACATTCTTCCCACTGACCACCAATGTAAGGGACATTCTTCCCACTGACCCCCAATGTAAGGGACATTCTTCCCACTGACCCCCAATGTAAGGGACATTCTTCCCACTGACCCCCAATGTAAGGGACATTCTTCCCACTGATCACCAATGTAGGGACATTCTTCCCACTGACAATTCATTCTTCCCACAATGTAAGGGACATTCCCCCACTGACCCCAATGTAAGGGACATTCTTCCCACTGATCACAATGTAAGGGACATTCTTCCCACTGACTGACCACAAATGTAAGGGACATTCTTCCCACTGACCCCCAATGTAAGGGACATTCTTCCCACTGACCCCAATGTAAGGGACATTCTTCCCACTGACCCCAATGTAAGGGACATTCTTCCACTGATCACCAATGTAGGGGACATTCTTCTTCCCACTGACCCCCAATGTAAGGGACATTCTTCCCACTGACCACCAATGTAAGGGACATTCTTTCCACTGACCACCAATGTAAGGGACATTCTTCCCACCACTGATCACCAATGTAAGGACATTCTTCCCACTGACCCCCAATGTAAGGGACATTCTTCCCACTGACCCCCAATGTAAGGGACATTCTTCCCACTGACCCCCAATGTAAGGGACATTCTTTCCCACTGTAAGGGACATTCTTCCCACTGACCCCAATGTAAGGGACATCTTCCCACTGACCTCCAATGTAAGGGACATTCTTCCCACTGACCCCCAATGTAAGGGACATTCTTCCCACTGACCCCCAATGTAAGGGACATTCTTCCCACTGACCCCCAATAAGGGACATTCTTCCCACTGACCCCGCAATGTAAGGGGCATTCTTCCCTGATCACAACGTAAGGGACAACGTAAGGGACATTCTTCCCACTGACCCCCAACGTAAGGGACATTCTTCCCACTGACCACCAATGTAAGGGACATTCTTCACCAATGTAAGGGACCCACTGATCCTCAATGAATTGGTTCTAGCAAGACCTGAAAACTATTTCAAAGGTTCCTCTGGGGTGAAAAGGTTTGGGAAAGTCTGTTCTAGAGGCACCTGTCAGGATTGTGCATTCATTCTACCCTTTATTTCCATTTCCATCCTGCTCCTACGTGGGGCATGCTTTGCACTTTTATTAAAAACCAGGACTTAGAGAATGTATAAAATGATTCATTTTAAAGTTTTTGCGCTACATAGTATTTACACTCCCATGAAATATGTAATTACTCACAGATCCCGGCAGCGGTCAATCATTGTGGAACAAGGAGCAATATTTCTGTTACTCTATTGTATCTTTTATTTTATTCTTCTTGAAAACTGTCAGCTTTTATCCTTTGTAAGTGTTTTTCTTTTCAAAATCCTCATTGTCTCCAAATTACATATTATATTGTTTAACTTTTACATCCATTTCCACTGTAACTGCTTTTTTTTTTTATTTTTTCCTTGTGTTGAGTCGGCATCCAGGGGAGAATATCCTTAATATTCCTCCTTTTGAGTGAATATACGACAAACTATACTGGTTAAAGCGTTAGCCTGCCCGAAAATAACATCCTGGGTATAGGTAGGGACCGGTGCGCTGCATTTGCTCCTGGTCCTTTTGCGTCTTGAACATATCAACAGCAAGATCTACCTGCCAGAACCACAGAATTTTAGGTATTCCTGTTCCACAATATAAAATAAATTGTTAATCGTGCATTTGACATAAAGAACAAATAAAAGTTCAATAAATCATAAAAAATATAGATAATATATATTTAAAAAAAAACAATTATACCTATTAAAAATATAATCATAAAGAACAATTTATGTATTTTTAATAGTTAAACATAAATTTAATACAAAGAGCAATTAAACATTCAACAAATCTTAGAGTGTGCTGCCCTATATTGTACAGAAATTGGTTTTCATGAAAATATTTATTTTAGGTAATTTTTAAAATATTTTTATATATTATATCTTCTCTTTATATATATATATATATATATATATATATATATATATGTGTATACATATATATATATATATATGTATATATATATATATATAAAAAATATACCTATATATACATATATACCTATATATATATATATATATATATATACATATATATATATATACGTATATATATATACGTATATATATATATATATATATATATATACACACACACATATATATATATATATATATATATATATATATATGTAGAATGAATATATAATATATAAAAATATTTTTAAAATTACCTAATATAAATATTTTCATAAAAAACTATTTATGTATAATATAGTGCAGCACAGTGGCTAAGTGGTTAGCACTTCTGTCTGGCAGTATTTGGGTCGTTGGTTCAAATCCCAACCACGGCACCACCTGCCTGGAGTTTCCATGTTCTCCCTGTACCTGCGAGGGTTTCCTCCAGATACTCCGGTTTCCTCCTACACTCTAAAGACATGCTGGTAGGTTAATTGGTTCCTGTCTAAATTGTCCCTAGTATGTGTATGTATGAATGTGAATTAGGGACCTTAGATTGTACGCCCCTTGAGGGTTAGGGACATTAGATTGTACGCCCCTTGAGGTTAAGGACCTTAGATTGTACGCCCCTTGAGAGTTAAGGACCTTAGATTGTACGCCCCTTGAGGGTTAGGGACTGATGTGAATGTACTATATATATGTAAAGTGCTGTGCAAATTGACGGCGCTATATAAGTACCTGTAATCAGGGGTGGACTGACAACTCATGGGGCCCCCGGGCAATAGGGGATCATGGGGCCCCTGTGTCCTTGCCCAAACTCAAAAAAGCCTATGAAAAAGGTACCAGGGGCATCTCATGGGGCCCCCTACTGACCCCAGGCCCTCGGGTAGTGCCCGAGTTTCCAAATGGTCAGTCCGCCCCTGCCTGTAATAGATAAATAAATAATATAGATTGTAATTGAATATCCATAATACAGCATTGTATAGATCCACGTTCCCATTGCATAAAAAAAAATAAAGAGTTAAACATAAATTTAATATAAAATGCAATTAAACATTCAATAAATCTTCAAGAATATAAGCTATATATAAAAATATTTTTTAAATTACCTAATATAAATATTTTCATAAAAACCAATTTACGTATAATATAGATTGTAATTGAATATCCATCACACAGTATTGTTTAGATCCAAGTTCCCATTACATAATAAAAAATAAAGAGTTAAACATTAATTTAATATAAAATGCAATTAAGCATTCAATAAACCTTAAAGAATATAAACTATATAAAAAATGTTTTTAAAAAACTACCTAATACATTTTTTTCATAAAGACCATTTTATGCATAATATAGATTGTAATTGCATATCTATCATACAGTATTGTTTAGCTCCAAGTTCCCATTCCATAATTAAAAAAAAAAGAGTTAAACAAATTTAATATAAAGAGAAATTAAAAGTTCAATAAATCTTAAACAATGTAAACTATCTATAACAATATTAAAAATGTATATTTAACAAAAACATTTACATAAAAAAAAACATTTTTTGTATAATGAAGACCGTAATTAAATATTCATTGTACAATAGATTTAGATCTAAGTTCCAATTCCATAATATAAAATAAATAGTTACATTTACATTCATTATAAAGAACAAATTTCAATTTCAATTTGTTCGAAGGTTAAATAGATCATAAAAATATGATTTTTTTTAAATATTAAAATTATACAAAACAAAATATTTTCATTAGAAAAAATCTATGCATGATAAAGATTGTAATTATATACCCATCATACAGGACTGATTCAAGTTAAATAATCAATACCATATTTAAAATCCTACTTGGAAATGTATAAAATTCCCTTAAAGTGAAAGTGCATTAAAAAAAAACCTTTGGATGATCCCAATTTATTTTTCGTAAGTTTACAAGTTTATAAACTGGTGTTTTCATGTAACCTTTTTTTACTGTTTACAATCTTTGTTTTACAAATAAACATTTAATAGGGGGAACATCCAAGACACAGGGACACAGCCAATGACATATCACTACACTGGTCCATTGCCAGTGTCATGTGACCGCTGTGACCAATCACAGCAGGTCACATGTCGATTGTATACAATGGATGGCTTCCTGTCCTGCCATCCATTGTATACAATTATGTTGTTAGCTGTGACTGATCAAGGCAGTCACATGATACAGACATGGGGCCAATCACAGCCCATCTGTATCATGCGATCAGCTTTGCCCAATCACAGGTAATCACAACAAAAGACTGATTGAATCCGTTTCATTCAGTAACAATGATTGCAAATATCAATGAAATACATCGATATTAGCAATCATAATGTGTTAAAAAAAAAAAAAATAAAATCCTGATCACTCGCCCAGAGTAGTTCAATGTTACTATGGTAACACTGTATTGCTTTGGTCACAGCGTGCTGAAAAATAAAATAGTAAAGAAAAAAATGTAATAAAAAAAGTAATAGAAGCATTTGAGAAAAAAAAAAACAATTCAATTACTATTATTTTTTATGTTAGACTGACTATTCATAAAGTATCTTCTTTAACCATTTGACCTCCGCAAAGTTTTACCCTCTTCATGATCAGACCATGTTTTTGCTATTCAGCACTGTGCTACTTTAACTGGTGATTGCACAGTCATGCAATGCTGTACCAAAATTAAATATCATTTTTTCAAACAAGTAGAACTTTCTTTTGCTGATATTTGACCACCACTGGGGTTTTTCATTTTTTTATTATATAAATTTAAAAAAAAGACCGAAAAGTTTGAAAAAACAATGTTCTGCTTTCTGTTACAAAACGTACCCAATAAAAATTTTTTATAAAATCAAATTTCTTCATAAATTTAGGTCAAAATCTATTCTGCTACCTGTCTTGAGTAAAAAAAAAAAAAAATCACAAAATATGTATATTAGTTGGTTTGTGTGAATGTTATACAGTCTACTAGCTCTGGTATACACACTACATTGCCAAATGTATTGGGCCGTCTGCCTTTCCACACACATGACCTTTAATGGCCCCCCAGTCTTAGTCCGTAGGGTTCAATATTGAGTTGGCCCCACCCTTTCCACGCACATGACCTTTCATGGCCCCCCAGTCTTAGTCCATAGGGTTCAATATTGTGTTGGCCCCGCCCTTTCCACACACATGACCTTTCATGGCCCCCCAGTCTTAGCCCGTAGGGTTCAATATTGTGTTGGCCCCGCCCTTTCCACACACATGACCTTTAATGGCCCCCCAGTCTTAGTCCGTAGGGTTCAATATTGAGTTGGCCCCGCCCTTTGCAGCTATAACAGCTCCAACTCTTCTGGGAAGGCCGTCCACAAGGTTTAGGAGGGTGTCTATGGGAAGGTTGGACCATTCTTCCAGAAGCACATTTGTCAGGTCAGGCACTGATGTCGGGGGGGGAGGCCTGGCTCGCAGTCTCTGCTCTAATTCATCCCAAAGGTGTTCTATGGGGTTGAGGTCAGGACTCTGTGCAGGACAGTCAAGTTCCTCCACCCCAAACTGGCTCCTCCATGTCTTTATGGACCATGCTTTGTGCACTGGTGTGCAGTCATGTTGGAACAGGAAGGGGCCATCTCCAAACTCTTCCACAAAGTTGGGAGCATGAAATTGTCCAAAATGTCGCCTTAAAAGTTCCCTTCACTGGAACTAGGGGGCCAAGCCCAACCCCTGAAAAACAACCCCACACCATAATCCCCCCTCCACCAAACTTTACACTTGGCACAATGCATTCAGGCAAGTACCGTTCTCCTGGCAACCGCCAAATCCAGACACGTCCATTGGATTGCCAGACAGAGAAGCGTGATGGGTCACTCCAGAGAACACGTCTCCACTGCTCTAGAGTCCAGTGGCGGCGTGCTTTACACCACAGCATCCGACGCTTTGCATTGCACTTGGTGATGGAAGGCTTGGATGCAGCTGCTCGGCCATGGAAACCCATTTCATGAAGCTCTCTACGCACTGTTGTTGGGCTCATCTGAAGGCCACACCAAGTTTGGAGGTCTTTAGCTATTGACTCTGCAGACAGTTGGCGACTTCTGCGCACTGTGCACTTCAGCATGCGCTGACCCCGCCCTGTCATGTGACGTGGCCTACCACTTGGTGGCTGAGTTGCTGTTGTTCCCAGTTGCTTCCACTTTGTTATAATCCCACTAACAGTTGAGCGTGGAATATTTAGTAGCCAGGAAATGTCACGGATGGACTTATTGCACAGGTGACCACCTATCACGGGACCACGCTTGGAGTCACTGAGCTCCTGAGAGCGACCCATTCTTTCACCAATGTTTGTAGAAGCCGTCTGTATGCCTAGGGGCTTGATTGTATACACCTGTGTCCATGGAGGGGATTGGAACACCTGAATCACATGATATGGAGGGGATTGGAACACCTGAATCACATGATATGGAGGGGATTGGAACACTCGAATCACATGATATGGAGGGGATTGGAACACCTGAATCACATGATTTGGAGGGATGGCCCAATACTTTGGGCAATATAGTGTATGTTTAATCGTACTTCAAATAACATTGATTTTAAACAATACACATGCCATAAATCAAAGACTAATCAACACGGAGGGCACAGTACTGCTATCAGGAGGCGATTGGAACACCTGAATCACATGATTTGGAGGGCGGTCCTAATACTTTTTGCAAAATAGTGTATGTAGGAACTTTGTAACACAACATCGGTGATGTAACGTAAGAATCGACCGAAACCTATGAGAATGGTTTCCTATGCTCTGTGCCATAACTCTGGGCCCTTTTCCCGTATTCTCACCCTCTTTCTGAATGTGAGATGGGCGTATTCAACACTTCCTACCTCACTGGAAGGAATAAGAAGCCGCTCTGCCAAACCAGTGCTAGTGAAGGTATACGGCCACAGCCAGCGCAGCTCTGCTTGCCACACCTCTGATGTGTTTCACCCACCCATTGGGGCTTAGTGATAGAGGTTCCAACCTCACTGGAAGGAATAAGACGCCACTCTACTGATCCAGTGCTGGTGAAGGTGTATGACCTCAGCCAGCGCACCTTCTGACGTGTTTTACCCACCCATTGGGGCTTAGTGATAGAGGTTCCAACCTCACTGGAAGGAATAAGACGCCACTCTACTGATCCAGTGCTGGTGAAGGTGTATGACCTCAGCCAGCGCACCTTCTGACGTGTTTTACCCACCCATTGGGGCTTAGTCATAGAGGTTCCAACCTCACTGGAAGGAATAAAACGCTGCTCTACCGATCCAGTGCTAGTGGAGGTGTACAACCTCAACCAGCGCAGGCTCTGATGCGTTTTCACCCACCCATTGGGGCTTAGTCATAGAGGTTCCAACCTCACTGGAAGTAATAAGATGCCACTCTACCAATCCAGTGCTGGTGAAGGTGTACGACCTCAGCCAGTGCAGCAGCTGACGCGTTTCACCCACCCATTGGGGCTTAGTCATAGAGGCTCCAACCTCACTGAAAGGAATAAGACGACGCTCTACCGATCCAGTGCTAGTGAAGGTGTACGGCCTCAGTCAGCGCAGGCGCTGATGCGTTTCACCCACCCATTGGGGCTTGTTCATAGAGGTTCCAACCTCACTGGAAGGAATAAGACGTCGCTCTACTGATCCAGTGCTAGTAAAGGTGTACGACCTCAGTCAGTGCAGCTGTGCTGGCCACGCCCTGACGCGTTTCGCCCACCCATTGGGGCTTGTTCATAGAGGTTCCAACCTCACTGGAAGGAATAAGACGTCGCTCTACTGATCCAGTGCTAGTAAAGGTGTACGACCTCAGTCAGCGCGGCTGTGCTGGCCACGCTCTAACGCGTTTCGCCCACCCATTGGGGCTTGTTCATAGAGGTTCCAACCTCACTGGAAGGAATAAGACGTCGCTCTACTGATCCAGTGCTAGTAAAGGTGTACGACCTCAGTCAGCGCGGCTGTGCTGGCCACGCCCTGACGCGTTTCGCCCACCCATTGGGGCTTGGTCATAGAGGTTCCTACCTCACTGCCATGAAAGTATAGCTCTGAGTTGACCTTTTCCGTACACTGCTATGCAGTCTCATTGATTTTTGTACCGATTTCTTCTTTCAATAAAGGCTTTAGAAAAAAATCTTTCTGCTTCACCGTACAGTATGGAAACTTAATGGGGATTTTTATTCTGACTGGCACTCGCCCCTTAACAACCCAAAAGCAGAGGGTGTAATTCTCACCAATGACTTCCCTCCCTGCAGTAACAGGTAATATTTTATAAAGAAGATTAGCATATACACACACACCGAGATCCAATATATCCTTTAATGCGCGGCGATGCGCACCATGGAGGGGGAAATATATTCAGGTCTGTGAAAGTAACAGTTTCCTGTTAATTGCTGAGACCAAGGACGTTCTTAAATTTGTTATATATGGCGAGCAGAAGTAATGAGGTTTGGAACAGGGATACCACACTGCGCAGACTATAAAACCTATGATTAGTCTATCTGTCCTCATTTACGCACTTCCTTTTTCATGCGGCTTCTTCATGTTTGCAAGATGAAGTCTATAATCTTCTGCTTCTCTCTAATGGTATACATTCTGTACGCTCGTTACATTAGGACCGGCGGCTGTGAACGTTGACGGAGGAACACATGAAAGAGCGATGAGCGGCAGCATATGCTATGTATCTTCGAGATGTCCGCACCGCTGAGATATATATTGTTGCCAACTGTCAATTATGTACCATAAGGCACACGCGGGCCTGTATTTGGAGGATCCGGCTACGTCCAGACCTATGCATTGCTGAGTGCTGTAAGCGGGGTGCATCTTTAGTATGACTTCCAAAAAGAATGCACAACACATTGACATTGATTTGTAAGATAGTGGGGGGTCCTTGGCTTATGACACAACAGGAGCCACCATTTGTAAGACACAGGGGGTTCATTGGCTTGACACAGCAGGGGCCTTCATTTATGAGACACTGGGGGGTCCTTGGCTTGTGACACAACAATAAACGGAGGAAGGACCTTGACTTTGCACACAGCAGGGGCCTTCATTTGTAAGACACTGGGGGCCCTTGGCTTGTGACACAGCAGTAAAGGGAGGAGGGTCCTTGGCTTTGCACACAGCAGGAGCCATTGCTTGTAAGATACAAGGGGGTCATTGGTTTGACACAGAAGGGACCTTCATTTATGAGACACTGGGGGGTTCTTGGTTTGTGACACAACAGTAAAGGGAGGAGGGTCTTTGGCTTTGCACACAGCAGGAGTCATTGTTTGTAAGATACAAGGGGGTCATTGGTTTGACACAGAAGGGACCTTCATTTATGAGACACTGGGGGGATCTTGGCTTGTGACACAACAGTAAAGGGAGGAGGGGTCCCTGGCTTTGCACACAACAGGAGACATTATTTGTGAGACACAGGGAGGACATTGAGTTGTGGCACAGAAAGGGCCAACATTTGTAGGACACAGGGAGGACATTGAGTTGTGGCACAGAAGGGGTCATCATTTGTAGGACACAGGGAGGACATTGAGTTGTGGCAGAGAAGGGGTCATCATTTGTAGGACACAGGGAGGACATTGAGTTGTGGCAGAGAAGGGGTCATCATTTGTAGGACACAGGGAGGACATTGAGTTGTGGCAGAGAAGGGGTCATCATTTGTAGGACACAGGGAGGACATTGAGTTGTGGCACAGAAGGGGCCTTCATTTGTAGGACACGGAGGACATTGAGTTGTGGCACAGAAGGGGTCATCATTTGTAGGACACAGGGGGGTCATTGGCTTGACCCAGAAAGGGCCATCATTTGTGAGACACTGGGGGGTGGGGGTGGGGGGGGGGGTCCTTGGCTTGTGACACAGCAGGTGCCATCATTTGTGAGACACTGGAGAGGTCCTTGGCTTGTGACACAGCAGGGGCCAACATTTTTGTGAAACTTGGGGGTCCTTGGCTTGACACAGCAGGAGCCATCATTTGCGAAACACTGGTCATTGGTTTGTGAAATAGAAGGGCCATCATTTGTGAGGCATTGGGGGGGGTTATTGGCTTCTTAAAGCAGGGGCCATCGTTTGTGATACACTGGGGGGGGGGGGGGTCATTGGTCTGTGACAGAGCAGGAGCCATTTTTTGTGAGACATTGGAGGGTCATTGGCTTGTGACACAGAAGGGTAATCATTTGTGAGACATTGGGGGGGGGGGGGGGGTCATTGGCTTGACACAGCAGAGGTCATCATTTGTGAGACACTGGGCAAGGGTCATTGGCTTGACAAAGCAGGGGACAGCTTTTGTGAGACACTGGGGGGGGGGGGGGTTGTTGGCTTGTGACACAGGAGGGTCATCTTTTTGTGAGACATAGGGGGGGCGGGGCATTGGTTTATGACAAAGTGAGGAGGGGGGTCATTGATTTGTTATGCAATTGAGAGTCACTGGCTTGTGACCCAGTTCGGGGTCAATCATTTTTGATCATTGGTTTGTGACAATAAAAAAAGGGCAAGCATTAGTTTGACCAGTGGGGTCATTAGTTAAGACCAGTGGGGTCATTGATATCTGAGATAGTGGGAGACACAGGGGAGTCATTGGTTTATGAGACAACTGGGGGTCATGGGGTTCATGAGACAATCGGGAGTTATTGGTTTATTTTTTTGAGACAACTGGGTTTCATTGTTTTATGAGACAACTGGGTGTCATTGGTTTAGAAGACAATCAGGGGTAATTCGTTTATGAGACAACCAAGGTAATTTGTTTATGAGCCAACTGGATGTCAATGGTTTATGAGACAACTGGGCAGTCATTGGTCTATGAAACACGGGGGTCCAGGGGCGGACTGACCATTGGAAACTCGGGCACTACCCAAGGGCTCGGGGTTAGTAGGGGGCCTCATGAGATGCCCCAGGTACCTTTTTCATAGGCTTTTTTTGAGTTTGGGCAAGGACACAGGGGCCCCATGATCCCCCCGCCCTGCGGGGGTCATTGGTTTATGACACAGTTGGGAGTCATTGGTTTATGAGACAACTTGGCGGTCATTGGTCTATGAAACACGGGGGGTCACTGGTTTATGAGACAACTGGGGGTCACTGGTGTATGAGACAACTGGGGGTCATTGGTGTATGAGACAACTGGGGGTCATTGGTTTATGACAAAACCAGCGGTCATTAGTTTTTTGAGACAACCTTGTGTCTTTGGTTTATGAGACAACCAGGGGTCAGAGCTTTATGAGACAACTGGGTGTCATTGGTTTATGAAACAAGCAGGGGTCAGTGTTTTTATGAGGGAGTGGTACTGTGAAGGGGAAGAGGCTCTCTTTACGGCAAAGTGGGGTCATTGGCTTATGGGACAACCGGAGGTCATTGGTTCATAAGACAACCCAGTGCCATTGGTTTATGAGACAACGTGGTGTCATTGGTTTATAAGACAACCAGGTGTCATTGGTTTATAAGACAACCAGGGGTCATTGCTTTATGAGACAACTGGGTGTCATTGGTTTATGAAACAAGCAGGGGTCATTGGTTTATGAGGGAGTGGTGCTGTGAGGGGGAACGGGGGGCCCTTTATAGCAAAATGGGGTCATTGGTTCATGAGACAACCCAGTACCATTGGTTTATGAAACAACCCGGTTTCATTGGTTTATGAGACAACTGGGTGTCATTGGTTTATGAGATAGCGAGGGGCCATTGGTTTACGAGCCAACTGGATGTGATTGGTTTATGAGACAACCCAGTGCCATTGGTTTATGAGACAACCCAGTGCCATTGGTTTATAAGACAACCAGC